AAATCTTGAGATACAGATAATTTACACAATAGTCTTACACATCTTGAGATAAGACTTATATCTTAGCAAAAGTTTTAGAGAGTTAGACTAAAACCAAGAAAGCATGAGATGAGTAGCAATGGTCCCCACTGGGAATAGTCTGCCCCTTTATTTTGTTTGCCTTTCCTTTCTCTGTCACAAAGTCAGGTGGCTTGTCTGATATGGGACAGACATTTCAGAGGAAACCTTATAACAAGCATGAGGTCTAGAGGATGGAGAAGCATATCCCACCTTCAGAGCCAGCTTTTAATTGAAGTGGGACAGCATAAAACAACAGTCTAATGTCACTCAGTTAAAAGATTCCTAAAAGACACCTGAATCCCTGTAAAACTGAATCCAGTACGCTGAGAACAAAGAAGGCTTAGAAATACGAATTTTTTGGGACCCTGGCTACAGACAGAGAATGCTGCTCCCTCCTCCATCCTGCCCAGGTCCAGCTATGGACTCCTACTTTGCAACAACCTTACAGACTCATTAACCATAGCTTAAAAGACAGGACATGTATACAGTGTGTGGGTGGTGGTGGGGGCAGTGAGACCAGTCAAAAATAAGCAGGGTTTTGGAGTGTAGAAAAGAGAAAGCTTAAACTTCTTGCAGCATTTGTAAAGGTCCTGAATAATATTGGGACCTAGGGTGCCATTAGACAGCCATTTGGACTGATTATCTAAGGAGTATCGAGGCCACATTTGATTGCAAAGGCAAACAAGTTTAGGGCCCTTCAGGTTGGGTGCCAGGGGTAGAGGCTTGAGGTTTTCTATCCCAGGAAGAATGAGAAATTACAGAAGGCATAGCTCCCATGGATGGGAGTGAGGGTGGAGAGAAAAAAAATATCACTGCAACCTGTAGACACAGGCATACCCAGGACTTGGGGAGGACCAAATAAGTACCAAGCTTTTTAGCTTGGGGGTCAGGGCTAATAGCCTGAGGTAGTGACTCAGCACTTGGAACCAGGGCTTTCAATGAGGTCCGGAGACATGTCAGAAGGCGATGAAAAACTGAGGTCTGTAATGAGCTCAACCATGAAAAAGAGTTGGAGAATAGAGTCACAAAAGCCACAGGGGCCTAGAGAAGCTGTGGGATTATGGCAGCTTCGAAGGGAAGGTGGGAGAAGAGAGCAGGAAAGGGGTGCAATAGTCCAACTGGGCCTAAGGAAACTGCAGGGTTGTATCTCTAAGGATGGGGTAATGGGGTCAGGTGAAGAGGGTCAGTCACAGCCTTAAAGATCAAGGCTGGGGGTACTTCTGACTCTAAGAGTTCCAGAGGGTTGCAGACTCAGAGAAGCATTTACACTGACCAAAGGGGAAACTTACCAAATTGCTGCTGGTAGATAGGGTGTCAAACAATCAGTGAATCAGCATGTGAGTCTGTTGTGGGTGGACTAGAGATGAGGGATAAGACCCCAGTGTGGTTCAGACCCTGAGGGGGAGCACAAGCACCAGGAGAACCTATCTGAGTCACAACACCAATGTAAGTGCTACATCTCTGTGGGCAAAGGCACGCTGGCAGTCAGGAGCCAAGGAGTACCCTAAAGTCATGCCGATCAACAAATTTCACATAAGAAATGTGGTGTCACATATGGCAGTCATAATATGGTGACTGACTCTGCTAGGGCAAGAAGCAGCAAAGAACTGAGCAGATGGCAGGTTTTATATAGAGTTTCTCGGAGCTAGAGCTTTCCAGGGTGGCCGAGCTTAGGAACTGGTGGGCTTTGTGATCTGATCTTGACCTTTTTACTCTGTAGGGTAGAGTATATGTCTTGAGGGGCTGGGGCTGACCATTATGGCCATTATAGGGTTCTGTGGGCAGAACCTGGTCATTGAAGGTTCTTAGTTGCAGGGCCTGGCTACCTTCTTGCCTTGAGGTGATTACAAACACATCTCGAGCAAATACATAAACGCATAGAGATTAAGCAGTTCATTACTGAATGAAGAATGGGGCAAAGAAATCAAGAAAGAAATAAAAAGCTTCCTGGAACTAAATGAAAATGAAAACACAATACTCAAAACCACTGAAAGCAGTCCTATGAGGAAAATTTATAGTGCCTACATTTAAAAAAAAAAAAACAAAACACAGAAAAATCACAAATAAATGGTTTGATGATGCAATTCAAAAATTTGGAAAAAAAAGAACAAACCAAAATCAAAACTCAGTGGACAGCAAGATATAATAAAAATCAGAACAGAAATTAATGAAATAGAAACAAAAAATAATACAAAGAAGCAATAAATCTCAGATCTGGTTCTTTGTGAAGATAAACAAACTTACATACCCTTGGTCCAACTAAGCAAAAGAAAGAGACAGAATCAGAAATAAACAGGGAAACATTACAACAATCACCAAAGATATTCTGAATATCATAAGGGAATGCTTTAAAAACCTGTACTCTATGAATCTGAAAAACCTAAAAGAAATGTATGAACTTATAGATTCCACAAAACCACCAAAATTAAACTAAGAAGTTAACAACCTAAACATACCCATAACAAGTGAGGAGACTGAAATTGTAGTAAACAGCCTTCCGCTTTAATAAGACCAGGACTAGACAGACTCACAGCAGAATCCTACCAGACTTTCAAGAAAGACCTACAGTTAGTCCTTCTTAAACTATTAAGAAAACAAAGCAAAAAACAAAAAAACAGGCAAAGACAAACAAAAATGAAAATGCCAATGTCAATGGTGAACATAGATCAAAACTGCTCAATAAAATACTTACAGACATATATCAAAAAGATTATATATCATGACTAAGTTGGTTTTAGCCATGAAATGCAGGGATGTTTCAACATATACAAATTTATAAATATAATAAAATAAATAAATGTACTTAAAGCCACAAATCACACGATCATCTTAAGAGACTCAGAAAAACAACAAGAATATCTGGGGAGTAAGGAGTCATATAAGTCAAAAGGAATCATACTACTAACTATTTACTTAAAGAACCATAAAACATGTAATTATTTCTATAAATATACATATGAAGTTTTAATGAACTTTATTCATCTGTACTGACAATGTTCCCTCCAGAAGCCAAAGAAAACCTAACAAAAACCCAAGACCATACATGAGATGAACTTATTTTTGAGTTCTTAGCTAGGACTGTCCAAGAGATTCCTTAAACACACGGCCTATTGTTATTGTCCTTGGTTGCTATCCCCAGAGGTACAAAGTAATTCCTGACTGCTGCAGACACCATGTACTTCAGAAACAGGGCCCAGAGACCTTTGAGTTGAAAATGACCTGAATGACTCCTCCCTGAGGACTATTTTCATGGTATCAGATGATACCAGGTAAGTTTCCAAAGGAGGAAAAACCAACAGTCCTATACAGCTATGACACTTATGAACCACATCAAGGGCCAGCATGTCACGATAACCTTATGGGTGCAGTAGTGACATACATACCTTGGCAGTGATCAATAGCTCTCGAATTGAACTTAAGACCTGCTCAACAGGAGGAAACCATGTCTGTTACTGGAAACCTAGCCAACTACACAGCGCTAGTGAACCATAGATATGGAAGAGAACCTACACCCATTACTTTACTAAACCAGTATAATCCCTAGCAACCATCTAAGCATTTGTCCTAGGTAAGTATAGCCAAAGATTAGTGTAGTCTTCACTCCTCATCAAGGAAACTTTAGCTATCAAAACCCACTACAGAAAACTATAGTTAATCAAAATGCAAGAGCTGTGGAGCCCAGTTCCAATGGATACTTCTATAAAACATTCCTATACCTAAGGTACAGGAACACTGTGGAAGAATTGTAGAATACTGTACAAGAAGAGGGTGTGGAAAGATGTAAGAACCAAAGTATAAGGGAGTTCATTGAGACTGTGTCTTCTCTACTAATTGTCAGAAGCTACACCCATAAAGTCTCACCGACATGACCATGCATGAGCTAAACAGGGACAAGAGCAGCAGCACGGCAGTGGCGCACACCTTTAATCCCAGCACTCAGAAAGAAGAGGCAGGAGGATCTCTGTGAGTTCGAGGCCAGCCTGGTCTACAAGAGGTAGTTCTGAGATAGGCTCCAAACCTACAGAGAAACCCTGTCTTGGAAAACCAAAAACCAAAACCAAAACCAAAAAACAAACAAACAAAAAACCCAACGAACAAAAAAACTCAAAAAGCAATAGACAAGCCAAAGTGGGAGGAAAGTCTTCTACATGAAAATGCAGATTATTTGTCCAATACCAAATGGTCAGCCCTCAATTTGCACATACAAATATTATACAGACTGAGGTTATATTTTGGAACATATATATAAATGGATGTAATTAATGAAAAAAGAGGCCATGAATTTAAAAGATATCAAGAAGGGGTATATGGAAGACTTTGGAGGGAAGAAAGGAAAGGGAAAAATGATGTAAGTACTTTATAATCTCAAAAGAAGTAATTTTAAAATAATGCTGTATATATATATATATACATTATAGGTTTCATGAAGGGAAATTAATTTTTCTCATAGATTTCATTTTGAATGGTATAAGACAAAACAGGGATAATTATATAAGCAAACATCACCTCTCTACATATGTATGCCTTTGTGTGTGTATGAATATAAATATGTATGAGGCATGAATGCAACACTTATTAAGATACTGGGTCATTCTGTCAATGAAGCCACATCCTTAATCCCAGTGACATCTATTACCTCCAGCTAACTGGCAGTAGTAGGTTGGCCTCTCGGTTCTGCATGGAATGAATTGGCTTGTTCTAGGGGCCTTTCAGCCTAGGAAAGGAGACAGATCCTTATCAAGTCCTGGCAACCTGGGAATCCATAGTCACTAGATGAATTTACCAAAGGAAATGAACATTTATATGCAATTGGAGATTTTGCTTTTAATTCTAGGAAATATGTCACCTCATGACTAGAGAGTGGAGACATAAATATATCAATTGAAATTGCTCTATTATAATGTGTACAGTGGCATCTTCTGCAGCATGGCTTGTCTTACCTTCATCTTTTGGTGGTACTGATGAAGAATTCCGCATTATGATGTATGTGACTTGAGCAGTAACTTTTCTAAAATATTCAAGAACAAAGAGTAATTAGAAAGTAGTTGATAGCATATTAATACACAGTAAAATATAAATTATAAAAGCTTTTGAAAAATGTTTTTCTATTTATAACCTTAATGAGTGGTAAGAAATGGGTTTTAAACTACTAATAATTGCTGCATGCATTTTCTGTTCATTTTTCTATGGATAGGATTTTCTCAATTACTCTGGGTTGAACTTGGAAAGAGATGCTGTGATGCTGTATGAGTGGCTACCTGCATCTCTGCTCTTGTAGTCAAACAGAAGCAGAGTGCAGAGTCTCTGAAAATGTTCCACCTGATAACTAGATTTCAAATATATTGCTTAAACAATAATTACTAAAATAAATTATAAATACAGACAATACTAAAATTCTAAATACTAAACACTAAAATGCTGTGGGATATTGCTTTTGTATACTATAAAGACTTGTTTGTCACTTGTATTGATTTAATAAAACACTGATTGGCCAGGAGCCAGGCAGGAAGTATAGGCAGGGCACCAGGCTAAGAGAATGCTAGAAAGAGGAAAGGCAGAGATGCAGTCACTAGCTAGATACAGAGAAAGCAAGATGAGAATGCCTCACTGAGAAAAGGTACGAAGCCACATGGGTAAACATAGACAAGAAATACGAGTTAATTTAAGTTGTAAGAGCTAGTTGATAATAAGCTTGAGCTAATAGTTCAAACAGTGTTGTAATTTATAGTTTCTGTGTGATTATTTGGGTTTGGGTTTCACGGGAAGTGAAAAGGCAGTCTCCGTATACACTAAAACAAACACTAAAATATAAATCACAAGCTGCAAGAGAAACATAAAATAATCACTTGATAGAATATAGCCTCATCAATGTAAAAGGAGTATGCAACCTATGTAGGACATAAGAAATGCTGATATAATCATACTAAAAGACAGATGCCAGTATTATTGTCAAAAAGGAAAGCACATGGTGGCAAATTTACACATGTGTCTACACTGTGCTTGGTCATGGAATTGTAAGTTTTCCTTTTTAGGTTAGAAGTTTCCAAGCTGTCTATGCATTGACCATCAACTCAGTATTCACAGGGCTTGGTACTGGGAAAATCTCAGAGACTGAAAGTCAAGTCTTCTAATGTGCTAGTTGCATATAAACCATACACATTCTCTTAGCTAATCTAGGTTAGCCCAATATTTGGGTACAATGTAAATGCTACATAAACAAATGCCTTTATATGGGTGTATACAAATGAGGGCTAGCTATGAATGTGGTCAAACACATTTGTAGATGAAAGTCTCAAGTCAAAAGGTTGGTCACTCCGCTTGTTTAGGGAATAATGAAAATAAAAAGTCACAAGTTCTGTATAGATGCAGGTTTAATTAATAATAGTCAATTAATTATTTAATTAGAGACAGGTTTTTACTTTGTAGCTCAGCCTGGCCTGGAACTCAGAGTAATGTTCCTGTCTCAGTCTCACAAATATGAACAACATTCTCAGTTATAAATGCAGCTTAAAAATATTTTTGAAGCAAAGTATGGTAGCATATGCCTGTCCAGGCAAGGAGATGAGGAATTCAAAGACAGCCTGGTCTACATGACAGTTAGTTTAAAAAACCCTGAAATGGAAAATGTACTGTTGTTATTTTGAGAAAGGGCATTACTATGTAGTTGTGGCTGGTCAAGAATTTACTACATAGACCACAATGGCCTTGAACTCACAGAGATATGTCTCCCTTGGCCTTCCAAGTGCTGGAATTAAAGGCATGTGACATGGGTCACAATCCTTATTTAGAGGATGTAAAATGCAGATTTAAAAAGGTGACTGTGTTTGAATAAAAAAGACAAGATCTTTGGAAAAATATTAGTAAACATTTTTATAAGCTTTTAAGAAATATCAACAACAAAAACCATTGAGTTCAAGACTGATGAAACTTTCCACTGGGGGTGGGGTGTAAAAAAACGAAATTAGGTATAATTAAAAGGCAAAATTTTCACTTTTCATCAAGACACAGTAGCAGAGATCAAAATTATCCTTCTACATAAAGCAATAAAAATAAGAATTAAATAGATAATTGAATCTTTCAAAAATGCCAGAAATTACTTCATAAAAATAGATCCCAATGAGGCTGGAGAGAAGGCTCAGATATTTAGAGCACTGGTTGATCTCCCAGAAGGTTTGGGTTGATTCCCAGCACTAATGTGGAAGGTCACAACTGCCTGTAAATCCAGTTCCAAAGGATCTGATGCCCTTTTCTGACTTACACAGGCACCAGACATGTGAGTGGTATGCACACAGACAAAACACATATACACATAAAATAAAAGTTTCTCTTAACTTACAATTATTATCTTTTATTATAACATAATTAAGATACATTTTCTACTTGAGCTATATATTTTTCTCTGTTCCTCTCCCTTTTCTCCTCCCTTTCTGCCCTCTCCCATAGTACCCATGCTCCCAATTTGCTCAGGAGATCTTGTCTTTTTCTACTTCCCATGTAGATTAGATCCATCTAGGTCTCTTTTAAGGTACTCTTTGTTGCCTAGGTTCTCTGGGATTGTGAATTGTAGGGTTTTTTTTTTTTTTGGTTGTATGTCTAAAAGCCATTTAAGAGTGAGTAATATATTTGTCTTTCTGGGTCTGGGTTACCTTACTCAGCATGTTTTCTAGATCCATCCATTTGTCCGCAAATTTCAAGATGTCATTTTTTTCTGCTGTGTATTACTCAATAATGTAAATGTATAATTTCCTTATCCATTCTTTCGTCAAGGGGCATTTAGATTGTTTCCAGATTCTGGATATGACAAACAATGCTGCTATGAACATAGTTGAGCACATGTCCATGTAGTATGGTTGAGCATCCTTTGGATATACACCCAAAAGTGGTATTGCTGGAAGGTTATTTCCTAATTTTCTGAGAAATGGCCATATTGATATCCAAAGGGGTTGTATCAGTTTGCACTCCTACCAGCAATGGAAGAGTGTTCCCTTTACCCCACATCCTCTCCAGTATAGGTTGTGATCAGTGTTTTTGATCTTGGCCATTCTTATAGGTGTAAGATGGAATCTCAGAGTTGTTTTGATTTGCATTTCTCTGATGGCTAAGGATATTGAGCATTTTCTTAAGGGTCTTTCAGCCATTTTAGATTTCTCTGTTGAGAATTCTCTGTTTAGGTCTATACCCTATTTTTTTTTATTGGATTATTTGTTCTTTTGATGACCAATTTCTTGAGTTCTTTGTATATTTTGGAAATCAGCCTGCTGTCCAATGTGGGGTTGGTGAAGATCATTTCACATTTTTTTGGCTGCCATTTTGTCCTGTTGACTGTGTCCTTTGCTTCACAGAAGCTTCTCAGTTTCAGGAGGTCCCATTTATTGCTTCTCTCGGTGTCTATGCTATTGAGGTTATATTTAGGAAGTAGTCTCCTGTGCCAATGAGTTCAAGTGTACTTCCCACATTCTCTTCTATGAGGTTCAGCGTGGTTGGTTTTATGTTGAGGTCTTAGATCCATTTGAACTTTAGTTTTGTGCATGGCGATAGATATAGATCTATTTTCATTCTTCTACATGTTGACATCCAGTTATGCCAGTGCCATTTGTTGAATATGCTTTCTTTTTTCCATTTTATACTTTTTGATTCTTTGTCAAAAATCAGGTGTTCACAGGTGTGTTGATATCTGGGTGTTAGATTTGGTTCCATTGATCCTCCTGTCTGTTTTTATGCCAATACCAGGCTGTTTTCAGTACTGTAGCTCTGTAGTAGAGTTTGAAGTCAGGGACTGTGATACCTCCAGAAGTACAAGATTGTTTTGGCTATCTTGGTTTTTTTGTTTTTCCATATGAAATTGAGTATTGTTCTTTAGAGGTCTGTGAAGAATTTTGCAGGGCATTGCACTGAATCTGCAGGTTGTTTTTGATAAGATTGCCATTTTTACTATGTTGATTCTACCTACTTAAGAGCATAGGATATGTTTCCATTTTTTCTGGTGTCTTTTTCATGGGGAAAATGCTTCCATCCAAGGGTATAACAGAGGTGTTCACCATCTTAACTGTAGTTAAGGCTTCAGGGATATGCAGACTTCAAAAGTGATCATACTTTACTCTACACATGTGCATCTTACTGGGAACCAATCATACCTTCATAGTATTTTTAAAGACTTTACAACAGATGCGGACATGACTTATTTACACTCATGCCTTGAATAAAGCAAGCTGATGAGAACATATTTAACCATAAAATCATTAATAATTAGTTCTTAAAAGAAGGTGTTAAAGTAGGAATCACTGGAAAGAATGTTATATCTTATTAAGAAGTCAAAGAAATGCAAGATGAAAACTATTTTTGTTTACATATGAGTTGTGAAAAATACAGAAGCAGCTGGATGTGAGGGGAGAGGTGCCAGGTGCTGCTGGTGTTGTAGGCACTTGCTGTGTGCTGTGCACAGTACTCCTGAAGGCTTAGGGTGCTCACTCCTCAGAATCACACCTTCTCTTCATTTTAGGAATTAATCTCAGCAGCATCATGGCATTCAACATCAATGTCATAAACATCATTGTCTTGAAATCAACTCAAATCTGTACAAATTAGACATTAAAAAGCCCGATGATATTTTCAAGGCTGTTTCTTAAAAATATTTAAGCATAAAAAGTGATTAGGGTATATTTGCTTAAAAAGATTGGTCATGTTACTATAGTGCTGACTGAATATAGTCCACTTCTTTCAAGTCCCAAACAATCTGTGACTTCCAGCTGAACACACAAGAAAGTCTGGTTTCCACAGGCTTCTATTCCAGAACACCCATTATCTGGTTCCAATATTATTTCTTGCTATTCATATCTTGAAGTTGAACCAGCTAAATTCTATTACCCCTTAGGCATTACTTGTAATTCCTCACATCCAAGCATTTGCAAACCATGAAATGATATGTTGCACGTTCACTCAGTCCCAAGCACTGTGCCGGGTCACGGTAAATAGGAACTTTTGAACAAATATGTTCCTTGAAGTCCAGTA